TAAAAGTAACTTTCCCAGAGATAGATAGATACATAGATAGATAGACAGATTTTATACAGTTATGTATTATAGAGGTATTGTACAGATAGACAGACAAATTCATACAGACAGCCAGACATACATATAGTGAGAAAGACACAAAGACAGACAGACTTTATATACTTTTACATATTTTAGAAGTATTGTACAGGTAGACAGTCATGGATTTTTTAAGAACAGTTTAAAATAATTCGGTTCTTAAATTTCTGTCTCTTTCACACTGACGCTCACAAACACAGACTCCCTGCTGTTTGAGTGACTGACGAGCACAAGTAGAGAGTTCATCAAAAAGCACTTAGTGTCCACAACACATCCTCTTATCAGTTCCTTTTATTGCTCTCTCCTTCTCTTCGGCTCTTTCTCCCTCCCTTTTTTTTGTCTCAGAGTCTAACAGAGACAAAGTGGGAGTTCCATGAGGGGCTCAGGGATGAGACATATTGTGTGTGTGTGTGTGTGTGTGTGTGTGTGTGTATGTGTGTGAAGGACGGATTGACGGATAGATGAATGCTGTTGAAGAGAGACCATTTAGCTGATAGTGATCAGCCCGTTTAACTCAGATCCCCCCCACCCAACTCACCAACCTCCCTCCTTTCCCTCTAGCTCTGCACTCCATCCATCCTTTTGTTCCGGACTGGCATGTCTCTACTTCTCCTCATTGTTGCTCTGCTTGAGCCTCAGTAGCTCCCCTATCACCACACACACATCCACTCACACACATTCTCTCTCATCTTGGATCAAATCCTCATCCCTCCCCCTCGAGAGTATTAACCTACCCTGTTCCTCAAAGTAGAATGTCACAGCTGGACTAATCCTTCACATGCAGACCTGAGACATCGAAAACCAGACTTAGCAGTGCTGTCATTTACATACACTATTGATGACATCTTCCAAACTGATCTCAAATCCATAAGGACTTCACAATTTGTCAGCTTCGTTTAATTTTGTACACAACCACTATTGATCGCATCTTCCAACCTGATCTCAAATTCACAAGGACTTTGTACGATTTGTCGATTTCTTATGAATTCGTACACATCCACTACTGACTATGTCTGATCTAAACTGATCTTAAACTTGCAATTACTTCATGAATCAACCATTTTGTATAAATTCATACATTCTGGCTTGTACAAACGCATACTATTTGTACATAAACATAAATTTGTACATTTGTACATCATCTAAATTTAACCCTCGGGGGGTGTCATCAGGTTGTATGTAAATGTACTAATGAGATTGTTTGAATTCATACAAATTTGCCACTTTGTAAAATACTTTATTGTCATGTATTTTGAATGTGTTGCATCTTCAATAAACATCACATTTTAAATAGCTTTAAAAATAAAAAGAACACTTTTGGTTCTGAAATTTGATTGGCTGAGCCTCATTCAAAGATGTTATATAATAAAAAAGGATACACACCTGTGACCATTTGAATAAACCCAATAATCTTAAAATTATTAAACATTGGCACATAAAAGAGATGTGTGCTGCTATGTTTCTAAGTGATCTTAGAATTATTCCACGGTGGACCACAGAATGGGCGAAAAAAAGACTTGCAGTGGAGGATTCACCCAAACCAAATTTAAAGAATAGATTACACCAGTGACTGTTGAGCACATTTGACTACTTAGCAACCATTTAGACCACCCTAACAAATACCTCACATCATGGCAGGAAGTTTTTCAGTGATTGTACCACAGTTAAAGGGCTTTTAGCTACCCGTTACCACATTAAACATAAAAATAATCAGTGTAAAACATGGCTTTGAGTTGCTTCTTGCTTTAGTATAACTGCAGTAACCCTAGAGTACACTGTTGAACCAATTTCAGGTATGTTGTGACAAAAGATGTGAGATTACTTGTAGCCCTTCAGTCAGGAAGCCGCCAGGTGGGATAGCTTAAAGCAGGAAATGGGCATACCTGCCTGGAGGCCCGGATTCACAGTGTTGTATCTTTATATCAGATCAACACTTTGTGAAACAAAAGCTATTTTCTTTAAGAACAATCACGTTGTGTTATAGAGACTGTATTAAATTCTACCCTGGAGGAGAAACTTTCTCTATGATATCAAAAGATGTCAGTTGCTGAGGTAAGGATAAAACAAATGAAGTGGTTGTTTATTGTACTCACAAGAAGGTTTTCAGAAGAGAGAGGGAAAATGAGAATGAAAGAAAGAAAAATAGGTTGAAATGGGAGTCTGAGAAACAAATTCCCTGTATCCTTTCCTTTGTTTGCTTCTGTCTGAGGTCAGAAACCTGAATCCATCAGACAGTCTGGAAAAGGCCATTCTGTAATTTACACTATTAACTGCAATAAACCTGATTTTCACACATGACAGAGTTTAACCGCTGAATTAAGCTTCTGTACTTCAACGCAAATTGCGTGAAAGAGATCTCTCGTTTCCTTTTCTATCTCACTTTTTTTCTTTTGGAGGCCAAATGAGCTCAGACTATAGCTTTAGTTTCAAAAATTTAGTTAATGCCTGACTTTTTAAAATAAAAATTTGCAGAACAACTAGTAATTTACACTATTAACTGCAATAAACCTGATTTTCACACATGACTGAATTAAGCTTCTGTACTTCAACGCAAATTGCGTGAAAGAGATCTCTCGTTTCCTTTTCTATCTCACTTTCTTTCTTTTGGAGGCCAAATGAGCTCAGACTATAGCTTTAGTTTCAAAACTTTAGTTAATGCCTGACTTTTTAAAATAAACATTTGCAGAACAACTTGTGCTCCTTACAAGAAATGCATGGAAGACTCAACTCAAAATGAATTCCAATAGAGGCTAATGTTAGCATGTTGCTAATGCAATAATCAGGATAAAAATACACACCACCACAAATAGTGCTCTTTAGCATAATACACTAATACACAACAATGCAATTGCACAGCACATGCAAATTGTCAAAACAGTTCATTTTTAAATCTTCAGTATTTCTTGTTATTGAAAATATGTATTTTAATCCACAGTTCAACATTATAATAAAGTACACTTCTGGCCTCACTGCCTTTTTGGAACAGACTTCACAGTGAAGTGCACCTGCTAGGCAGCTTTGAAACACTATGGCCGTGTTGTTGGTATAAGTACTACAAATCACACCCACACATGCCCATCACACAACACTTACTTAGATGTCACTATCACAACAAAGTCACACGAATGACTCACATTGGCCCTATTGTGCCTTCAAACACACCCAACCTGGTGGTTTAAAGTATAGAAAGCATGTTTAAGTCCTAAAACCAACATCTAACTGCATTTGAGGGAAAGACGTCTTACATAAGACCTCAAACCATCATGATGCTCACCTCGTCTCTCAGCTAAACACTGTCTACAGCAGTTTTTTTTTATGAATGCTAGTAACTGGCAACTATAATTAGCTCTCATTTTGAAACCATGCTGGGCAGGCCATCAAAGGAACCCCATCAAAGTTTCTATAGCAGTCAGACATGGATTGAGCGATCGTTTAGGGCACAGCTTGGTCCAGACAGATCACTGTGGTTTGGATATAATGTGTGTGTTTGTGTGAGTAATGTTAATGTTTGCAGATGCCAAAACCTGACAATGCAGCCTCCATAATTTCAGTTATCATCATATTAGAGTGCTGCACGAATAAGAAATAAGATAATTATTTGATGTCTTAAAATCTTCCAGAGAAGTTCATACTTACCGTGTCCTAAACAGGGCAGGGGCGACGTGAGGAGAAGACAAAACAAGCAAACTGTCCGACAAAGCAAACGCCAAATTGGTGCGTGACGCAACGCAGTCAAGCTTACAACAGCCAATCAGAACAGTTCTTTCTTTCTCTCTTTTCGCTAGCAATGTAGCTAAAGAGCGTTAAACTTTAAATTTAATTTATACATACCTCGTATTTTAATAACGCCATGATGCTTCAACTCACGGCATGTTTTTATGTTTTTCCTCATGGAACTTGACTGTAGACCTTCTATAATCAAGTATCTCCTCATCCATGTTTGATGTAAACATACGCTATTTCTGTCCAATAGGATTTTGAGGGGGCGGGGTTACGTGTCGCAGTGCTTTTTCTCCTCGAGATAGTTTTGTAAATTTAACTGTGATGTTGGTTCAAGTAATTTGGTCAGAATAAATAAATAAAAAGTAAATGTTTTGGTTTTTAGTACTGTGTAATTGATGCAGTTTATAATTTTTATTTTTAAGTTTTCCCATGAACTGTGGTTTTACTACTAATAAAATAGGCTAAGAAAAAAAAACTGTGGTTATACAAAATGGTAATCAATCCACCAAAAAATATGGTTCGTACACATTTACTAGAATAAAAAAATAATTTTCATAAGGGTTAGTCGCCTCAAAAATCACCTAAATTTTTAAAGGTGTCAATATATCTCTAAAGGCCCGTTCACACCAGAAGGTTAACTATAAAGATAACGATAAAGATATAGTTGTAAAAATTGTTCTCAATATTAAAGAATAGCAGAGTCCACACCACAACTATAACGATAAAGGCACAGACAAACGATATCGTTAGAATCACTTTCAGAATGATTTTTTTTCCAGCTGATGAGCGATAGAAATATTGACAGCCAATCATAATCAATCCTGCTGTCACGAGCTCGAGAATTTAAAGAGGTAAATGAGCATACGCTTAGAATAAACAGACGATATCGTCCGCTGGTGAGGACGCTAATATCGTTATCTTTATATTTATCTTTATAGTTATCGTTCTTGGTGTGAACAGGCCTTAAAGTGATTAAATATATCACTATGTGTCATCAATATTACACAGATACATAGAAACTACATTTAACATTTATAATTACAACCATGTGTGATCAATATCAATTAGCTTAGTTATCATCTAAATCCACAGTTTGCTCCCAAAATAGCAAACAGGACATTGTGGCTGCATTCATCTCCTTAATAAGTTCACCTGAAACATATATTTGAAGTAGACTATAAAAAATGTATTGTCTCTCATCGCTTGCTGTGTTTGCAGTTGGTTGAGAGAAAATTCAGATAGGAAGAGACATAGAAGAGATTAAATTTATCACAATGCTCCTGGTTAGAACACGGTGTAATGAATGCACATAATCATACTGATCGTTGGGACAGTTGTCTGTCAAACAAACACAACAAAATGTATTCACTTTATTAGTATCAGTTACTGCAGATTGTGTTTTGTTGTTCTCGTTCATTCTACGGCATATACAAGAGAAGATCAGTGTTGATAGAAAACTGGCAGTTACAAAAATATGATACAGATATTTGCTGGAGAAAATACATTTTGATACACAAATAAAGTCGTGATAGATGCTCCTTTAAAAGGTCATAGAATCAGAATTTCAACGTCTGTGACTCCAAGTTCATTTTCTGAAAGTCTCTGTCTTTGCAGTCTCTAGTTTGTTGTGCTTAGTTCCCCTGGGTTTTAATCCAAAACCAAAGTCTCTCTCTGGGTGCCTTCTAAAGGTGCATCAAAAGTCCAAAGCGATCCAAAAAGGCTGTCCTGATTCGCTCAGGGTTGAACAGTTCACATCCGCCTCGTCTTTTCAGATGATATCACTCAATAGCTATCGTGCAGTCTGTTATCTGATTGGATGCCATGGCCCTCCTCTGCTTTCTTTTATCCAGTGCCACGCTCACCTTATATCTGCTGTGAGGAAAAGACCTTGTTAGGCTTTGACAGCACACCTGCTGAACTGACAAAAAAGCTGCATACAATGAAAGTCTATGGGGCAAAGGGGCAACGGATGGAAATGGCCAAAAAATTGATATTATTTTATTGCTTGTAATTTGTTTCTTTGTTATTTGTTCTTCAAGGTCTATAGGGCAAGTGTTGTAAATATTGGTTAAATGTTATTATTTTAAAGTTTGTAATTTGTTTCTTTGTTCTTAATTTAAGTATAGTCATTAATTAAAATATTATTCAACAGTAGATTCATTTTTGCTATGGTATGAAGACGCGTCAGATATTATCGTACCATTATATCCCTTCTCCTGACCTTTGACCCATGAAGTCCACTTGGCTTTCATCTTACTGACCATTAGTCTAAATATAGAGTCTGTAAATCTTGCCTGCCGCTTTTGGACAGTTTATCTCATTTTCCATTTCCTTTTCTTTTTTTAGCCCTCGAACTAGGCTGGCCTTTGAGCGGAGGAGAGCGAAGGGAAACGAGGGGGCAGGAAAAAAGGGTGGAGAGGGAAAAATAAAACAAGGTGTGGGAAAGCAAATGATTAAAAGTGTACCCATGTGTATGCGGGACTCTGAGTGATGTTTGGACGTGCAGACGCACTCGAGATGATCCTCCAGCTGCACCTGCACCTCCCGGAGCTTCGGCCTCCTGCGTACGTACTCCACCTTGGCCACCTGAGAGAGAGAGAGAGAGAGAGAGAGAGAGAAAGAGTGAGTGTGGGAACATCCTGAGCTGCACGCACACACACTCATAACCCTATCAACAGTGTATTTTTCCTCTGCCGTTCCAGAGGTGAGATAAGGCGAGAGCTAAATGTGACTCGTCGGTTTCCTGTAATGCAGATGAGCCGCCTCAAACCTCTCTTTCTAAACACACACACCTCACATCATACTGACAGACTCCTTCCCTCCCTGCCAACTCAGCTGCCCTGCAGGCCCATTTATACAATACTTTATTCAGGCCTGAACACTCACACACATAGCTGGCGAGATAAACGCAATAGAACACACCCCGCAGCCGCAGCGTTACAGACAGATATTTGCAGCGGTTAACTCAAGGTTAGGGCTATTCGTTAACTAGCCGTGGAAGTCTGGCCTGAAACGCTTTCTGTGTGCTCAGCGGCCCTGAAATTCTCGCTGACATTGTCCTCCCTTTGGCACGTCCTACGCCTCGCTCTTGTTACATTTGAATTTGAGAAATGTGAAAAGCTTTACATGCTGAAAATGAGCTTGACAAGTGCGCATGGGGATTTACATCAACAAAACATATTTTTATTATACAGTAAATGTGCTCAGTGAAGGAGAAAGAAGGTAAAAGGTCATAGTTATGTTTCATTTAAGTATCAACTTTCAGATGTTTCACCTATAGTTCCTACAAAAAGGCACAAATGAGACCATTTTTGACATGCAGTAAAGGCACTTTAAAATGAATGGGAATTGGGAATGGCATGACAGATAACTTGGTCTGGGAAGAATTAGATAAGAAACATCTGAGTTCATACTGAGATTTTTAATGTATGGCTGCAGAGTTTAGTATCTTGGAAAACTTTAGCAACATCACTGACCTGTTCAGGGCTTCAAGTGCAGGTCAGTTTCATCTGTAATACGCTACTGTAGTCTTTATTAACCTAGTTGAGTATTAAACTGCTAGCACCTGTTAGGCTGTCAGGAGCACCCCATTATTATCATCAGTCAGGATACTGTGCTAAAGGACATCATTATCGATTGGAAAGTTACATTAATACATTTAGCAGACAGATATCCACATGAATTTATTGTACAGGGAGGGAGGGAGCTTGAGCAGACAGCAACACAAAAATATGAGAAATAAGGAGCATCTATGAGCCCAAAAATGCAATAGTGTGTTCAGTATTACACTCTAAAAAATGCTGGGTTAAATATAACCCAGCGCTGGGTTAAAAAGGGACAAACCCAGCTATTGGGTTGTTTTGACCCAGCGGTTGGGTTCAAAACAACCCAACCGCTGGGTCA